AACCTCATAAAAATTATTTTTATTATTGTGATAGCTGTGATTTTATATTTAAACGAAATTATTGTAAACAATATAAATGAAAACTTTATTCTGAAGAAGATTTTGATAGCGATATTGCTATTATAACTGAATCAACTATTTCTGAAAGATTTTCAGATTATAATACTGATGATAGTTTTGTTATTCTTGATAATAAAAAAATTATTTTTGTATTAATTGTAAACAATATTATTATTCAGAATTTTATACATGTAATAGTAAATATATTTTTAGTCAAAATAGATATATTAATAGTAAAAATAAAGTTATATTTAAAGATATTAATATCTAATCAGTCTCTTTGACTGATTAGATTTTTAAATACGTAATTAAAAAAAAATAGAATACGACTCAGCTTTGAAAGAATATAGTGATATTTCAAATCTTAATAGAATATATTTTTCCTTTTTGAATACCCAAAATTTAATTTTTCAATATAGATTTTCTCTTGATTATTTAAAAACAAAATTAGAAATCAAAAGTCAAATTTCTATTAATACAAATCTTTTACAACAAAAAAAAGCAATTATCGATAAATATGAAAATGAACGTAAAGAGTTTTCTCTTTGTATTTTAGTTAATCTTGATAAACAGGTTTGGCTTTGTAGAAGAAATAATCCTGATAAAGATTATTATGATCATTATCAAATTGCTGATAGAAAAAAAGAAAAAATGAAATATTTAATAAATATGCAATTCGTAAAGCTAAAGAAGAAGCAGATGTTCAAATTGAGGAAGTTAATTTAATTAGTTTTAAAGATAGATTTTGTAAATTTCCTGATAGAAAAGAATATTTAGTTAGAACTTTTATTTATTATTCTATTACCGATCAAATTCCTAAAAATACTGAGCCTAAAAATCATGATGCGTGGTTCCTTTGTGATTTAAAGGATCTTAAAAAATATAACTTAACTGATAGTTTAAAAAATAATTTAGAAAAAATTATTGAAGCGATTTCAAAAAAATATAATAGTTTGAATCGTAAAAGAAAAAGAACCAGGGTAGAAGATAATAATTCAAATAGTGGAATTAGTGAAGAATTAAATATTATTGTAAATGATGAGGAAGATCTAGTTAAAGAAAAAGAAAATAATAGACATGGTAATTGAGATTAAAGAAGAATATATTATTTATTTATTATTATTATTTTATATATTATTTTATAATCTAATCAGTTCATAACCAGTTAGAAATTTAATTACGTAATTATGAAAATTAATATAACAATCGATGGTTTAATATCAACAGGAAAATTTACTATTGGTAAATTACTTGCATTAATCTTAAATTACCAATTTATCAATAGCGGATTATTTTATAGATATCTAATATCAAAAACAACAAGTCAAGATGAACAAGAATTATTATCTTTATTATAACAAACAAAAATTGAACAAATACTTCAACTTAATGAATTAGTATTTTCTGAAAATTATATTGAAAATAGTTCAAGAGCTAGTTTAATTGCTAAAAACAACAATATACATAAAGAAATTAATAAGATAATTCGTGAAATTACTAAAAAAAGGGATATATCATATCTGGTCGTGATTCAGCAATAAATATTCTTTCTAATGCTGAATTAAAAATTTTATTAACTGCTGATTTTGAAACACATGTTCAAAGAAGATTAAATCAATTAGAAAGTAATAATTATAATACTATTAGTTTAGATATAATTAAACAAGATATATTATCAATTGAATTTATTAAAGAAATCATAAAACTCTCAACAATTTTTATTATTGATACAACATATCTTTCTATAGAAGAAGTTGTTGATAAAATTTTATTAAAAACTTCAAATACAATTAGTGAAATCTATTTTTTAAATTTTATTTTATTATTCTCTTTTATGTTATTTTTTTTTACAATTTTCTATTCAGTCTATTTATGACCGAATAGAAATTTATTAATATAAAAAAAAATAGCTAATTTAAAATTAGGTGAAGAAGATTATACAACTGAAAAATCTTTGAAATTGGTGAGTAAAATCACTTAACTAAGTTTGGAAATTACGCTGCTCTAGAAAAAAATAGATATATTTTGAATATGTTAATAAACATTGAGGATATATTTTGATTTTTTCGAAAGATATTTGGTATCCATAACAGGTGGTGCTGAGTAATTATATTAATAGTGATATTCAAATATTTGAGTGAATAAAAAACTTTTGTTAACATTTTTTCAGTCTAATTATTTAATAGATCATAATTTCAAAAAACTCATGCAAAATCTTTAAATGAAATTGGATTGGTAGCAAATATAATTGCTTGTAATCCTGGTAATTTTGGAATAGATATAATTGCTACTCTAAACAAACAAATATTTTTAATTCAATGTAAAAATATTTTAAAATCTCTTGGTCTTCAAGATTTGCAGAAAATTAAATCAGCTTTTAAAAGATTGGTGAAGAAATAGAAATTATTTATAATAGTGAAAAATTACAAAAACCATTAACTAAACAGGCTAAAATTTGGTGGAAAAGTTGTTGTTCTGAGATTAAAATTTTAAACGAAAAAGAAGCACTTAGTTATTTTAAAAAATATACAAAACAAAAAGAAAGAAACAAAAATAATTGAATATATAAATCCAGAAGCTGAAGAATGTTTTATTGGTAATAATATTAAAATGAAGGGATTTAAAGCTAAAAAATATATTATTTATTCTCCTTATTAATATATTCAGTTTTTTTTAACCGAATATAATTTTAAATATATAATCAAAAAAAAAATAGGTATTAAAAATTCAAAACTAAACCCTAAAGTCATTGTTGCTTTTGGTTTAATTGGTGCCAGAAAAACAACTTTTTTAAATGAATTAAAAGATTATTTTGAAAAACAAGAATTAAAAGTTTATCTTCCTGAAGAGATGTCACTCCGTCTTGGACAAGATTTGGAGTATTTTTATCAAGATACTTAAAGATATGGATTTATGTTTCAAGATCTTTTAATTGACACATATCAGGAAGAAAATGAAATAATTAGAAAAGATGAATATGATATCTATTTAATTGATAGAACTGCCAAAGATATTAAGATTTTTTCTGAAATTCTTATTGATAATAAGTTGAAACTTGATTATTTTAAAAAGAAATTGAAAAGAGAAGAACAAATTAATGTTAAATTTAATTTTTTTATTAAATGTTCACCTGAAATTTGTTATGAACGAAAAATTGAAAGAAATAGAAAGAGTGAAAAAGTTTCATTAGAATATTTAAAATCTCTTTGTGAAAGTTATGAAAAAAATGCTTTTAAATTATATTCTAAACACATTGTTTTTAATACTGATGATGCTAAAGTAGAAGAATATAATACGTATTTTCAACAATTATTTAAAATCTAATCAGTTTTTTTTAAAAACCGGTTAGAAAATTAATTACATAAATTAAAAATGTGTATCTTTTGTTAAGAACTTCAACAGTTACAAGAAAATTTTTTATACTTTGATGATCTTAATTATTCACTTTTTTAATAGTTTCAAAAAAATATCATCAAACCTTAACCTTAATTACCGAATTTAATTATTCTCCAAAAAAGATTAAAACAGAAGAACAAGTGATTAAATTTTTATCTATTTGTAAAAAAATAGTTAAAGTAATGCATCATCAAGAAAATTACAATTTGTATACTATAAAAGAAAATGAAGTATATTAATAAATAATATTCAGTTATAATTAATCAAATAAATTTTTATAATAAAATACCAAATTTATTTTTCGTATATGAAGCTGTTGATACTTCTAATTATAAAAATTATTTGCTATGTTTATTCTCTGTTTGTACAAATAGAGAAAAAATAACTATAAACATTGTTGTAAAGGATATATTTTTTGATATTAAGTTAAAGAATGAGAGTGAAGAATTAATAGATTCATATGTTGATGAATTTAAACTAGATTCTTTCGATATTATTGAAAAACAACTATTTGATTTAACAGAAAAATATAATTTTATTCATTTATATTTTAAAACCTATAAAGAGCGAAAAACAGCATTACAAGAGTTAAAAGATAAACTTGATGAATTAAACAAATTAAAAGCACAAGTATATTTAAAAGAAAAAGGAAAAGAAATTATACGAGAAATTGAAAATTTTTGGGAACGATATGATACATATTCAGATAATATATCATGTCATTATTGAAAAGTTGCATGAGAAAATGATTTTGAGCTTGTTGGTTGGTATCGATTAAAAGATGGAAGAATTTATAATAACATTTGGTAACCATAAGTGATATTGAAAAAGTTGATTTATCAAAAGAGATACCTAAATTAATTATAGTAGTGTAGAATACAGAATGGGGTAGTCAATGTGGATCTGGATATTTTCTAGAGAGTAATGAAAAATTAGATTACATATATATGATTCAATTTGATATTTTTTTTTATAATAATCTCAAACCACTTAAAAGATACAATATCACAACATTACCGATAAACACATTTCTTTTTTTTTCAAAATATTTAGAAAAAATTTTATGCAATTCTGAAGATTTTATTTTTATTAAAGTAGAAACTGAAAAAGAACTATTATTAAAATTTGCTGAAGTATATTATGGATTTAATGGAGATATTGAAATTGGATATAATACAGAGGTTTTGATTGGCCAAATATATTAAAAAAAGTAGAATTACTAGGAATTGGAAATAAATTCGTTGAAAAGTTATTGGAAAAAAAATCTAAATTAATTTCAAATATATATGAAAAAGATATTCGTGTTGTTGATAAAGATTTAGATAAAGAGAATTCAAAGTATGAATTTGCAAGCTTCAATATTATAAATAGAGAGATAAAAGTTAATCCAATAGAAAATATGAAATGTGAATATTTTTATAAACAGAATACTATATTTGTAGATTTATTAGTATGGGCTAAAAAAACATTTCAACAAGAACTTAAACACACATTAGATCATATTTTACAAATTTGTAAGTTAGAAGAAAAGGCTGATCTACTATATCTTCCAGAGAATTGTAATAATTTACATTCTATGTATGTTTATATTACAGCAATCAAACATTTTTTCAGCAAAAAAGTTATAATTGAAATGTAATATTGAATATCAAAAATGTTTGGATTCATTACTAAATATTTCATTTGAAAAATTAGATAAATATAGAGTTGAAATTGCTTACTATTGTTCTATTGATACTTTACGTTTACAAAAACTTTTAATCAAACAAAATATAATTGGAGATTATATTCAATTAGTGGCTTTATCATGTGTTCCTATTACAAATGTATTTTTAAATAGAGTTGGAACGTTAGTTTTAAATATATTCAGGAGATATGCTGCAAGAGCTGATAAGTTATTATCAACAACTTGAAAAGGAATAATCAAAGTTGGAAATAAATATGAGAGAGCATTGGTTTTTTTTTTTTTTTTTTGGTTTTAAGGTGAGGCCTTGCTCGTATCTTTATTAGTAATTTTTGATATAGTTACATT